GGGTGCACCACGTGGAGGTAAGTCTATCACACACCCCTAGTCAACTGTATTTGTTAAGTTAATCTAATACAGAGATTGACAAAGTGGTAGTCTCTCATCAGTTGTGCTCTATATCACTCTTTCCAAAATGAGTGTTAGGAGGCACTCTCCTACATAATCTTATGGAATTTTATTGATTTGAAACTAATTTCAAGGCTACGAAGGGTTTGGTTTAATGGGTATATTAGTGGAATTAACAGCCTTCATTCTTGAGATTCATGAGCTTCTATGTGTACTATATTCCTTATGTATTATTGATTCAACCTAGTAGCTAGCTTAAGTTCTAACAATATTTCCAGATCTGAGAACATTAAGAGCAAGATGTGTTGTATGTTAAAAGCCATTAGTTACGAAGGGTTGTAAACTTTACTCCATCTGTCTTGCACTCATTGTCGGTGAGTGCTATGTTGCATCCTCTCACGGATAAGGATAACTTGATCAAATTCGTCTCTAATAGTGATGCATTTCCGAAAATGATTCCCAGAACCTAATTATGATGTTAGATATAGTCAAAGGTAAAAGTGTTGCCACTAACGCGCAAAAAATTATTTTGACTTCTGTCTTTGCTATAGGTTTTTTGTTTTTATTTTAGAAGTTATTTCCCTGCTTGGTCCTGTAGTTGAAATTGAAGAAAAGAGCCCAACGCCAATGTAAGCCAATTTGCGAGTAAATTTGCTTGAAACTAGAAAATACTCTATTCTCCCATTTTATCCTGTTTCATTTTATTCTAGGGCTTCGGATATATTCATTGAGCTGAAGCATCCGTCCTTAGTTAGTCCAGAACTGCAATCGCCAAATCTAGATGAGCCACAAGCGGGAAAAGGGCTCTCTACTACCATTGTTGTTTCATCTCCTGAAGCATTGAACTCTCAACCGGCATCGGAGCCGTTAGTGATGGTAAAGAAAAATAAACGTGGAAGACCTCCTCTTTCCTCTTATTCCACTCAATCTCTTGCGCCGCCTCCCGTTAAGCGAAGGCATTTGGATATGATGGTGAGTTCATTTTTGCACTCTGTTATAGGAAATGTGTCCTTTAGATTTGAAAGATACTTTTGGTAGTGTTTGTGTTAATAGACTGCGGTCGAGCAATTAGTTTCCGAGCTTCATCGTTGCTCCTTATTCAGTGCGTTCTTAAAGATTTATTCGTTTTGGGATCTTTAGGAAGAGTTCACAAGAATCACCTTTATCAAAATATGACACCTTCGAATTTCCAGTTTAGAAGTGCGTATTCCATCAACACGCCAATATAACATAATACGGCCCACAATTACATTAATTGGACGTTTCTTAAATTCGCTATCTTTTTCAGAAACCCGTTTGCTGATATTTGTTCATCTCTTATTGCATTGAGCTCGGGTTGTAAGTCGTTTCTGTTTTTTATCGGATTTTAAGCATTCATTTCTCCTTTCCAATAACAAAAGCTTATTGTTACCTTCATTATTTAATGTATTGATGGTTATATAAACGCCTAATGAATCTTAAGCGTTTTTTCGTGGAAGTAGTTAGGTTGTAGCGTTTAAGGTGATTAGGTGTAATGAGTTCTTGTTATATTCATTTTTTTCTCTTCATAACTTAATGTCATTTTTATTGTGTTTTGCAGAGCGAAGAGAGTGTCTTAATCTACGGTAGTCGTCAACTTCGGATTTTCCTCCTCAGAACTCATTATTCTAGGCGAAAGCTGAAAACACAACGCGCCGCCGAACGTCAAGTTTCAATAGGCCCATGCACCACTCAGGCTCTCCTAGACACCGGGCCAATTGCTGAACTCCCCTCAATTACAGCTTTCTTCCCATTTTCCGAACTGTCTTCTCCTTTGTTGGAAGTCGGTGACGAGGAGAAACAGGAAAATGAAAAGACTTGGATGCGTCAGCTTTACGCAAGACTCTTAAACACCCCCGATCTCCTTGACCTCAAGACCAGATTAACTGCTCCCCTCCTCTCACTTCCTTGCCCTCTCCGCCTGCCTGATTTCTATCGATTTATCTGCGTCTCAGGTCTCCTAAACAACTTTGAAGCAGCTTTAGAAGTGCAAGATTCCATCCAACCGAAAATTTTAGCCACTGTTTCACCACAGGTTATTATTAAGTCAGCGGATACTACGATGATCCCTCCCTTTTACGTCGCAGGCGATCAATGGCCACCGCTTTGTTTGAGAGATGTGATTCCGAGGTTGTCGGATTACGTGGAAGACTTTCAAAAGCTAGATCTCTTGTTAGAATTCCTTTTCAGGACATGGGAAGCTTATGCTGGGCGAAAGAATTGGATTGGTAAACAACTACAACAAGTTCGATCACTGTATAGTCAACTCAGGGTACGCTGCTCGAATTAATGTGAATTATTTATTTAAATTTTGTTTGAGGTATATTAATCGCCCTATTATCTCTAAAGTCTGTTTAGCATAGAGATTAGTTTGCCAACTTGGATGCACAAGTCAATGAGCACATCTGTTTAGTCAAACGTTACAAGATATGCGCAAATTCATTGATTTGGATCGCCAGTGAGGATAGTTACTACGGGCTTTTTAGCTTTTTAGCAGCCCTAAAATAGCACAAATCTAACTAAATCATAACTTTTTTGCACTTTCCATAATCGAATTTCTTGCTCTATGAACAAACTATGTTTAAATCCATATTTTTCCTATCCAGACAGAGCATGTTGCAAAGCATCCGGATAAGGAATTGCCTCTGCCACCACCCACCCTGTCTTCTGGTTCAGCATCTAAGAACTCAGGTCCCATAATCGCCGGAAGCGGAGCTGCTCGCAAGAAAGTTGACCGACAGACTCTTGAACGTGGTGCAGAAGTGATACGTTGTCTCTGTGGTTTTAGAGTAGAAGGCGGTCATGTAATGATTCGCTGTGCATCTTGTGTTACCTCCCAGCATCTGCCCTGTGTGTGGTGGGCTCTGGCTCTTGATATGAATCCTCGACTAGCTGCCCCAAGCACTTATATTGGCTCTTCATGGCCTAATATCCAATCTGCCAATCAAAAGCCCTCTTCCATCCGATTGGCCCGCTGTAAAGCAGCGTTGATTGGTGCACTGGCTGCTGGTGGTCATGACATCTCAGTTTTATGTCCCTTTGCTCAAGTTCCACCTGCCTACTACTGCCCAAGCTGTTTGGAATTGGATGGTCTCACGAAAGACTATCCCAGATCTCTGGCAGTCTCATTGAAAGAACACAATGTTGCCACTGTGTTTGATAAATCTGCTAAGAGGTTTGATTACTGGAGTCTGGGTACAAAGAATGAGCAATTCCTGACGGATGAATTTGCCATTATCTATCGAGGTGATTTTGAAAAAGCTCTAAACTCGGGTGGCAGGTTAACAGAAGAGCAATTGCAGTCTGGAAAAATTGAGAGAGCGTCTGATGCGGTTGTTGTGCGAATTTATGGATTATGGAAAGATAGAAGGTAAGAACTCAATTTGAATTGTATCTTCGTTTAAAACTATGCTGATGAGAATCTATTAAGCCTCTAATCCTGGCAAGCATATTTGATTAGTGCATCTGGCTCAATCTGATATCCAAAAGTTCGAGGCTTTCTCCAATCATGGGATACTTTAATTTCATGGGTTTGATGCCCTTCTATGCACAAATAATGATCGGAATGGCTTGCTTTACTGGCAAATACCAAAGGGAAATAGATATTATGTTCCTCATTAAGGGCCTATATGTTGCCTTCCCTCAGCTAGAATATGCCTAAGAATTTTATATACCTTTGTAAGTGATTTGATAATATGACTGAGTAAACATGTTAAGTGGGCAGTCAGTCATCTCTATATTAACTTAGCACTGGTGTTCATTTATCTTTTCCCAATTTTGGGTGATAAATGGTCAAGTGTGGTAACTTAAAAAACCGTTACTTCCTTGATCTCTGCAATACTTGCAAAGGTACTGATTGCAAAAGCCTGTACAATATTAAAGTTTGAATACGATAAATGAACGTTATGGGCATGCTTAAGTATATTCTGACTAGGATTTGTGTAACTTCGTTGTGGCTCGCAATTAGCGTGCCTCTCTTCTAAATCTGGGTGCTGAACTTGCCGCCAAAGTCTATCCAAATTAAAAGTCAGAAGGAGATTGAATGCGCCTATTCTGGAAAATACAAAATGGGTTGTGTTTTTGGAATAATCTTGCCATAATTTTAACAATATGCAATATATCTAAGTCACTATTTAAAAATGCAAAAGTATATAATAAACCGTTAATGCTTGTGACTGTAATTTTTCAAACAGTGGTGAAAGCTGGATGGAAGGTGGCGCTTTCCTTCGGCCGTATGATCTCCCAGAAAATTTGCCTTGGTCGACGGAAAATCCGACTTTTTGGCATCAAAGGGAACTTGTCTACGATGAAACCAGTCGGCTTGTTTTGCCCCTTTCGGCATTGCGAGGTCGTTGTTGTGTTCTCGCTCCTCCTACCTACCGTATTGGTCGCCCAGCTGATCTACCTGCTATTGTGGTTCCTCCATCAGAGGAAGCTAGAAGGCAAGAGCAAGAGGAGCTGCATCCATTAGTCTTCCTCTGTGAACGCCTTATGACCCGTAATGACGTAGGTGAACTCATTCTGAAAGAGATCGCTCCTGCTTATCTCAAAATTATTACCAAGGTAGGCTCTTTATAAATGCTACTGGTGATATTATAAGTAGTGTATAAATATGTGTCTGTTTTCTCTGTTTTTAAGCCCTATTACTTTCTGCGTTATCCTGAAACCTCGTCCCTCAAAGCTGCTATTGTAAGACAGTGCACACCTAATGATCTCAAAGAAGAGGATTCATCTACTCGGTTTGGGGATATTATCTCTTGTGGAGTTGAACCTGGTCTTCTCTTTGCCGACTGCGCTCAGCGTAGGTGGATAGATGATCGTAATTCTTCAGTATCTCCTGAATATAATCAAAATGAGGTGGAGGAAAAAACTGAACAGTCACCACAGAAGCCTCATAGACATCGAAATCTGGGTTCTGTTCTTCCTTTATTGAAGGGAACTCCATTGTCTGAGATTGTTCCTGCAATTTCCACGACATTTCATCATGCATCTAGAAAGTCTCCACCTGTTTGTTTGAAGCTTTTAGCGAAATCACCTATCTTGTCAAAGCCAGTCCCACCCTCAGTAATTAAAAAACGTGGAAGGCCGTCGGAAGCTTCTAAGGCTCAACAACAAACAACATCCATAAAGCAGCTTAGCTTTGAAGAGCTACAACAACAGATGGCTCTTCTTGGAGATGGAGGCTCGAAGGAGACCAACTCTGCTGTTTCTATCTTTTCTGCTACTCCAAAAAAGAGGGGTCGAAAACCCAAGGCTATGAAGATGGAGTCTATCGATGTTGAACCGAACGGTCAGATTATGCCCACTGAGCCGTCGACTGTGACTAAAGAAGACGATGTCATTATTGTAGATGACAGCCCTGTTGAGGTTCAAGTTTCAAGCGACGATCTTCCTCCGTTTAGAGTGGATGAAAATGAATTGATTTGGCAAGAAGAATCACTGGAATTGAAATCGGACCCTATTGAAGCACCAATGACTACTGACGCTTCTCTGGTAGATGATCAGGTAGTCTTTGAACGTGTGGAATCCGTGAAAAGCGTTCAAATCCATCAGCATATTCATTTACAAAAACTGAATTATGAATGGGCTAGTGATTTTCCAGAGGACTATGATGAAGAGGTTGGAAATATGGAATATTCCCCTCCATGTGGTCAATTGGTTGAGTGCTGTGAGCAGGAGGAAATTTTAGATGGGGTAATTTGCTTTTATTTTTATAATATGGCTACTAACGCATATTTGATCGCATATTAACCAATTCCCATCTCTTTTATTTCTATTGTTCCTTGGTCCATTTATGGGCTTCCTTAGTGAATCAAGGGTCTTTTCATTGGAATAAATTGTTTCGCAATTTCATGACCTGATGAGTTGATCCGTTTTTTTCGGATGTATAAACGTGATGAAGTTTTTATAGGGATTCTCCTTTCATTCACCCTCTATAATTAATTATATTTGACCAACTGTCAGTTAAGGATGTTAATTTGATTTGGGGGGGAGGGGGCAATTTTGTAGTTTATATATCAATAGGAACTTTGCAACATTCGGAAGCTTTTTGCTCCTAAATGGTTATTGGGGGTTATCCTGGAGTTTAAATTATTTGACCTCAGACTAAAGCTTTATGTTTGTTTCCTAAAGTTGGTAAACTTGTCAGACTTTTGGTATATGTCCATTACGCTCATTCTGGTTTCCATCTCCTTAAAGTCGATTGAAACGTTCCCTCAGGACATATTATATTGATCATTTAATTTGAAAACGAGGGTGGACAACAAACCAGGACAAAAAGAGTTACATTTTTTGCTAGTATTAGCTCCTTCCCGATTGGTGTACAATTGTTTTACCTTTTTTAGGAAAATCTCGTGGAAAATGCGGAAAACCTTGTGCATGAGATCCCAGAATCATCTCAAACAGAAGAAAGGTTGAATATTCACGAATCTGACGCAATCCAATCCTCTTCCCCACCATTAACTCATTTAGCCCTTCTCTCCAAAGTTCCGCACTTTAGTGTTGTCGAAATCACCGAGTCGCATTCTGAAGAATGCACAGATCTTCCTGATGATGAACTGGACTACTTGGAGACTGAACATTTCGTCCGAATTGCTGAACCCTGTCCAGATGAGAGTTCGGCTCTCTGTGAAATTTCTCCGCCCTCTATTCTTGAACATCCCATCGGTCTCGATCACTCTACTGAATTGGATGAAAAGCGTGAAAATTCCAATTCGAGTACTTCTGACGTTTCCACAGATGGAAGTTCCGCGGCAATCACCGATCAGAAAGAGTGTCTTCAATCGGCATCATCTTTTAAGGTCCAACCTCGAACTTCTTCAGTTTCAAGTTCAAGTTCCCGACGAAGAAAGAGTAGTCCTAAGAAGAGGGTCTTTGACGACTCAGAAAAAATCCTAGACCTCTCTGCAAAATCCTCCAGTGGGGTGGATGAGTGAAGAAAAGGTCTTCTTTTTATTCTCCTGTACAGTCTTTTGTTCATCTTCTCTTCATTCTCTCTCTCTCTCTCTCTCTCTCTCTGTACATAGTATACGCCGTACCTGTATTGATCTGTGTGTATTTTGCTTTTCTCTCTTGTTTTAATTATTAATGTGTACACAAAACGCCCTGTAATTTGACAACTCTACTCCTCTGTCTATTGCAAGTCATTCTCCCTTTCTCGGGTCTTTTGATATTGTTCATCTTTCTCTTTTTCTCTCTGCACATGCTTCTTGTCTTCACTTTTTTGTCTCATTGGTATTTCTCATCTTTTCCCTTACTTATTATGTTATTGCTTATGCCAAGTGTACTACTATTAATATTACAATACTTTTATTGTATTCTCCTATTTCATTTCTTAAGCATGATTTTTACAAGGTATAGTTTAGAGTGTGCGGAGGAACTGAATAGGATGGTTTTGGATTTGTCTGCGCCTTCTTTGGAGATCTGGTAGACACATCTGTTAGGGTACAGGAATTGCCAAGCTAAGTATGTCAGTTTCACCTATTCATGAGAGAAGTGGCCGTCGTAATCACTGTTTGTACCAGGAAGACTCCTTTCACTCATCGCAGACGATCTCTTCAATCCAACAACGTCAATGGAAACTTGAGGCCGTGGAAGAGAGAGAGCGATAATCGGGCAACCGTATCACCAGTGTCGCATTTGGCGTGTGGTTTAATTTAACCCAATTGTCTACGTACAGTCCAAATACACTCAAACATGCTTTTTATTCAAAGTTAAATCGTCTCTGCTCAACAAATGAGAAAATTTTTTAGTAATCTTTCGGTCTACTGAAGTTTGCAGTTGTTTTTCCTTAACAAGGCTATTATTAATAACAAAATAATTCCTTAAAATTCCCTTTCATTATTATACGAAATTGGGTGGTTTGAGAGTTAGAAAAGAATAGAAGCTCAAGTATCACTGATGTTCATCAAAGATATGTAATGGTGATGTTAATTGGCCAGATTATTTAGGTCGGGAACTTGGTCATGCCACTCCAAAGTGGCCGTGCTAACTAACATTCCAATTTGTCGTGGGAAATACCGAAAGCCCTTGTCTTTGATATAGAGATGATATTCTTGGGCGGGCCTTATATGAGTAGCTCAATTTCTGACATTCCTCTTAGTAACAAGAATTCACTCATTGTAGATGATCTCCATCATTTATTTATTTATTTATATCAAATGGCAGGCATTTTGATAGTTATCATTAGCACTTTAGTTGACTTCAGGCTTCACAGAGGGAAAGGAACATCAAAGTGAAAAAAAGTCTTGGGGGGGGGGGGAGACAGAAGAGTGATTCAAAGATGTAAGAGACGGATACAAAGGTAGAAAAAGGTGAGGTGAGTACCTTGGAAGTAGTCGAATATGACACTGGGGTGATGGTGGTTTGAAGTCAGAAGTCAAATGCCGGTTAATAGACCTTCTGCCGTATGAGTATACGTTGCCCAGGGTGCACCACGTGGAGGTAAGTCTATCACATCCCTGATCTCCATCATTGGTTGTGCATAAACCAGTGTTGATCCTGTTAATTGACGGACGTTTACTTCAATCACTAAGCCACCAACCCAAAACTGTCACCTTAAGCAAAATTAATGTCTCAAATCAGTTAACTATCATTCATTGATATAAATAAGATTTATATTCCTTCTTTCAGTCTATTTTCGCCCATAGGAAGGAAATATTAACCTTATAGTAATTCGCCATTTTTCCCAAAGTCATAAATCTGTATTGCCCTTCAGCCGCCGCGCATTCTCCGGGAGAAATCGACTGGTGAGGGCATTAGCCAATAGAATTCTAGGAGGTGACTCATTCCGCCATTGGGACATTGCCATAGGTTAATTAATGTAAACAAAATGTTTTCTTCATTGCTTTAAGCATTGGGCAAGAATTCGATATAAAGATGAAACTTCAACAAATTCGCGGTAGAAAACAGTGATGTACAAACATGTGTCAGAAAACTGCAATGAAAATGTCAATTTAAAAAAATTAAATATTTTGGCAATAAGCTTCAAAAGCTGTAGAAATGGAGAATTTCCTTCAGTGAGATTAGATATCTAATAGGTGGTGTCTAAATTGCGTTCATTATTTGGAAAAATGGAGGAGGAAAACCCATCCATCCATCTATCTGGGCTTCCTCTGTGCATACAAATTGTTGCTATGCTTTTAATTAAGAATTGCAGAGTCTAATCTCTCACTTTACTCCTGAGATCAAGTGTCGTACTGAGAAATGTTAAATAAAGTCCGTGGTAAAGAGTGCAGCATAGGTGTATTCGTGAGGAACAAGCTGAAAATGCCCTTTCAATTTAATTATCTTTTAGTTTTCCATTGTTGGTCGGTCATTCATTGCGGGGAAACCTTTTGTAACATAATTGCCTCAGACCAACTCAAACAACTTTCTTCTTACAGATTAGCAACTCATAAGTAGATAGTTATAGTTTAATTAATGTTTTCAACTTTTCAGAAATTTTGAGCTTTTCGACTTTTCCCTTACTTGAAATAAATCCCCCTTGATTGCTAAGTTTATTTCCCACCTTGAGTGTTCCGAATCTATTATAAAAATAGTCAAGTGTAACGACCTTATTAATTATACTGAAAATTTATAAATCAATTGTTTAGATACAAATGATGGACACCAAAGTCTGAAGGCAGAACTTTAGGTCTTAAAGTTAGCAGCTGGGGTATGCGATAGACTTACCTCCACGTGGTGCACCTTGGGCAACGTATACTCATACGGCCAAGTCTATTAACTGGCAGTTGACTTCTGACTTCAAACTACCATGACTCCACTGTATGTCAAATTCGACTACTTCCACAGTACTCACCTCACCTTTTCTCTGCGTTTGTGTCTGTCTGTCTGTTTCTGTTACATCTGTGAATCATTATTCTGTCCCCCCTCGCGACTTTTTGTCACTTTGATGTTCCTCCTCCTCTCTGTGAAGCCCGAAGTCAGCTAAGTGGCTAATGATAACTATCAAAACGTCTGCCATTTGATATAAATAAATAAAAGTCAGCAGCTTGTCTCTAGATGGACAAATCCCTCGGACGGTCTCTGCGTTGTTTAGGTGATAAAATGTCGTGGGTTAAAAAGGACCGGAGTAACTGTATTTCTGTTCCATCTCTCCCTCTTCCCTTGTTCAGGTCAACAGTAGCCTAGCGGAATTAAGTGTTGCATAAGACCGAGATAACATTATTTGAAGTTTCAACATTTCTTTAAATAATTGAAATAGTTGAGCAATATAAAAAATTTTGCTCCACTATATAAAATAGAGTAGTATATTTACACAACCCTTACTAACAAGTATTTGTAACGTTCATTCCCATTATCCCTTGAATACGATTTGGATGGGTGAATATGTTTGCAAAAGTGTCTGCTTATTCAAGATATTCTTCTTCTATAGACGCGCTATGATTTTCATCTGACAACGTAGAAGAAGCGATTTTAGATTTCCCATCATAGTTCCATTGTAATGGGCCCAGTTTCTTCTCGAATTCTTAATATTTAAAACAGCACAACATGAAGAGTGGAAAGAACGAAAACAAATTCCACTATTTAACTACGCCTCTTTGTAGACTGCCTAAAACTTACCAGCAATCAAAAGCTGAACGCTAGGCTCCTTAGTGCAGTCGGTAACTTTATCTATTTCACCTGCTTCCTCAACTCTTTCACAAAATATTACTTCGTTCTCCTTCTCTGGAATGACACCATCCAGCATATACATTCCTTCTGCGTCCGAGAGTGGCTCACATGTTGCACATTTGATTTCAAGGTCAGCTGTCTATTGCTTATTTTGCACCCAGAGGAAGAGTGCGGTAATGGGCGAAATGCTCATTAAAAGCCCTTGAATAGCTCCAGGAATCCATGGGAGAAGATATAGCGACAGTAAAAATCCCACGTGCATATACAGATCTAACACGAACTTACCCATCGCGAAAAGTATTCAAACCACGAGTTCGTGAGTTCTGCAAAAATCAGATGATTCGATCGATAGGGTAGCCTGTAGCGCGTGAACATGAGAAATCGTAATTTTTCCTCCAGTTCATAAGTGATATTTTTAAGTAATTTTACCATCCAACCTGCAAGCTACCACTCTTCTTTATTGCTAGGTCCAGTTCTGCTGCCTTCATTCATAGCCAGCCCTATTTCAGTAAAATGACAAGAAAGGTGTGCGGTTAATCCGGAATTAATTTATTTGCCTTTAATCAAGACCATTTTCTAGGAGAATGTAATAGGTGATCCGACACAACCCAACATGTAATTACCATTTTTTTAAAGCGTAGACTTCTCGGGTTTAAGTGATGGGCTCATATCGCTTAAATTTTATCATAGCAACACCCATATAATATACCGATGTTTCATAGCAACGCCAGCTACTCCATTCACTCATGATCGTTTGATTGAGATGGAATTCTTTTACCATTTTCCCATCAATTACCTCGCCGCCGCTATTGTCCTTCCTCGTGTGTTGGTTGAAGGTTAATACAGCGGCTGTTTAAGGCAATTCCTTTGGACATAAAACCTTCTTTTCAATGGAACGCCTACCACAACGAAACACCCATTTTCAACAAATGCGCATCTAAATTCTAATTAGATAGAACTAGATGTGTTTATAGCCTAATGAAGTAGTCACAATTTTGTGACCATTTACAAAAAGAAAATACAACCGTATTTGGCATAGCTTAATTCATTAGAGTTCTGTTTCACATAGATCACTACAAAATATGTATAGTTATTTTGGCAAAATAATTTCCTGCCAGTTGAGCGATTGTTTTCCAAACTCAGCTATGAAACCCCCTTGGCAGCCAGTCTCTTGGTCGGTCCACTGTTTGTAGACATACATGTTCAACACAGACTCAAAGTCACCCATTGAATAATTGAATAATTACTGAACCGGCGACGAGCCAATTTCAATCCCTTCTCAAAATCAAAATTGCAATGTTGCGTTGCTTTAGAAGGTAGTAATAATGACAATGATGAAGTTGCATTTATAAGTTTGGTACTATTAATCGATTTCATCAATCTCAAACTCAATATATTATAGATTTCGAACAGCAAAATAAGTACGCAAAAGGATGCTTTGAGTTATATATGCATAATATTTATATATACTGAAGTATAGGTATATTATCAGTCACAAGGGAGAGAGGGGAGACGTAGAGTCGATTCATTTCTGTGACTGAGGAGAGAAACACTTTGTATTTAAAAGATTCAAGGGTAGAAACGAGGGATTTCATAATTAGCATGCATTCGCGTAAAAGAAAGAGGACAAAAAAACTGATTTGGGAAATTATACGAGTTCGTCTTCTAAACAGAGAGCCAGTGTTTCTGCGTATATGTATATATATATAACGAGGAAGAGGAACAAGACAAGACACAGAAGGGAGGAGTGGGTAAAAGGACAGAGAGAAAGCGGGTAATTATGCTTGACCCTCACGGTATCTCAGACTCCCAGTCCCACCAGCACTTTGTGAAGCACCAGATGGAAGTTGTGGCTTGCCACTGTTACTATTTGCAGCAGCAGGACTTGTCATTGCAACGACACCAGGTGGTGGGGGTTGGCTCATGGGGTTACCGGGTACCGAGGTGGGAATTCCATACTCAGAGTAGTCACGAATACGCGGTGGGGCTCCACTAAGAACACTTCCAGGTTTGGGGCCGCCACGACGACTCAGACTGCCGCTGTTAGCGGGATTACCCATGACAACACCACCTTGATTGCTCGGATCACCCATCTGCATGGGTGGCATCATCATCATTGCAGGTGGAGGTGGTGGTGGAGGTTGGCTTGGTGGAGGAAGTGGCGAACGAACTCCCATTCCTGGTGATGCTAAAATGTAGTAATAATAGTTTAGAAATAGTAACCACAAGCCATGGATCCATGAAAGCGTAATTCCAAGATTAACATTCATACAGCTTTTAAAAGGGCAGACGTAGGTGGAAGTGCTCAAAGGAGTTCTCTAAAAGCATTATCTTTGCGGCGACTAATAATAGGTGATTGGCTAGAAATACAAATTTTGCGAACACACTGTAACTAATCCTGCGTAAGATTATAATAAGGAAACATTACCAAAATCCTTCCTCTTATTCAACAAGCAAGTAACAATAGCGAAACCTACCTCCATAAGACGGCGTACTTCTATCAAATGACTGATTTCCCGATCGAAGATTGATTTGATTTAGAGCTTCATTCCCTCCTCCAGGTTGCTCTAATCCAGCTGCCGAGGGAGGTGTGGTTCCATTCATTCCACTATTATTTCCATTTCTTTCCTGTCCATCCATCATTGTCATTAGGGCTATGTTCTCACCGTTTTGAACGGGGAACTGTAAAAAGAGGAAACGAACAATTAGCCCAACTGAAATAGCAATTACCCGACTACTGATGTTATTTAAGTACACAGACCTGGAAACCATCACCCTCGCCACTACCGGAACCGAATTGCTGGGATGATTGTGAAGACTGCTGCTGTTTCCTGCGGCGTCTTCTGTGATGTCTGTGACCACTGACAGTACCACCTCCATGTGGACTCGCAGTACCACTTGTCCCATTCAAACCAGCAGTTTGACTTCCAGATTCAGTGTATCCGAGGTTCATCTTTAGTAGACAATGTGCAAAGCGAAATTAGTGGAACAAATCCCCACGAGATCCAAAAACTTTTATCTGGGTCAATACTGAAAACTGGGGCTAATAGTCTCGGCCTCACATTGTCACTTAGAATGTTCTATGGCATGTAGGAAACCATCATGCCGTCTCAGGGGCTTATTTTAGTTAGCAAAAGAATCTAATTAAGTAATAATTAATGAGTTGATACTCAAATTGCTAGGAGTGACGCTAGTGAAGTTAGAAGCGAATGGTTACCTGATTCTCCTCAGGCAATGGATTCAGCATTGCATGTGATTGTGGATGACAGACATCTTGTTGCGAGAAATACGAGTAAATTGACTCCCCATCCGTGTGGTGGCCCATGCCATGCATCCTGCTACAATAACAGAAAAAAGGAGAGAAAATCACAGTCCAATCAAATTACTCCCACTTTCTAAATGGGAAAAGGATTGAATTCAACTACAGCACAAACTTCTGATTCTAACCTCAATTTAACGGTCCGCATTTTAATAAGGGAAAGGGCTCAGTTAGAGGATATTATTATTATTATAAACAACATTAAACACCGTCCGGAACAATGTTGTGCTATTAAAGTTCCATACGGTGAACTCCCCCTGTGACAAGATTATCTTCTTTCTGTCGTCAAGATGTTGGCCCAACAATTGTAACTTGCAAGAGTATAACAAAATGCGACCAAAACGCGATTTGTTCGCTCCGGGGTCCTTTGTGCACAGTGCCCAATATGCAAAAATATTAATATTAGAAATAATATATCTCTCGACAAATTGTCTAGATGAAAATTTAATAAATTTAGTCTAATTAGTGCATTCTAAACATCGACTTATGATCTGACATTTGGGAAAAGTACTGTAGGAAATGAGAACAAAATAAAGTTAATTAGTGTCAACTGCTAGACTAAGTTTATAAGAATTATCCAATCTGGAGCTATGACAATATGATAGACTCCACCACCAAGTCTTACAAGTTCTATATTTTTGCCTAAATGTCTCCCTTTGAAGAATGAAAAGAATTGTGAAATTCGCGATTGTACAAACGAGTCTTTAAAGTCAAACTCTTAAGTCGGTCAAAGAAAGCTGTAGTTTTTGAGATTAGGAGAAATCTCCACATTTTAGGGTCAGAACGAACTCCACATGTTTTCTCTGCCACCGAGCCTACAACTGGAACAAGGCCAATTTCTGCAACTTCAAGGGTATAAATGGGCGGTGTTGAAAACTTACTTCATATGCATAGGATCACCCTGTGGTTGACCGGAATAATAAGGTACACCGGACATTTGAACTGGCGGCGGCGGAGGTGACATCAAAGGATGCTGTTGGCCATACATAGGTGACTGGAAGTAGCCCGGTGGTGGAATCTGGTCACCTAGCATTGGTGGTGGATGCGGGCTCATAGGACTTCTTGCTAGTAAGGTTGCTGAATAAAAGTAAAACGAAGAAATACAAAGTTATCTATTTCATTATAAGAGTGCTGCTGATTGAGCATTTAAGTAGACTCACCTTCTTCGTGCATTGACCCGTTAGGATCGCGTTTAAGTGAAGCCCCGGAGTGAACACTTCCACCATAGGGATAGGACTGGCTGTGTTGCCTTGTCAGCGTATCCATAATTTGTTGTTGCTGTTGCTGAGGTGACAAATATGCCGCTGGATTGTGAGTTCCATACTGCTAAATTAGGGAAAAAACATTACTGGAATTAACACTGGAGAATGGAATAGCGGACAAGATGCATATCTGTGAAAGTAGATTAAAATCCAGTGGAGGATATAATCAATAATTTTGGCTAATATTGACTAAAGGAGTTGGCAGAAAAGCAATACGGGATCACTGTTAATATTTGATTAATATTTTCCTTAAAATAACCATTATTTTGATTAATACAACTTCCAGAGGATTTCCGAGTCATGCTAATGACAAGAAAGATACCTTAATGCTAATTAGCCTCGAAAATCTAAATGAATTGGTAGTGGTCAAAATTATGAAGGCAGACAAAATCACCTAGTTTATGGACTAGTGGAGTGAATCACTCTTTATGGCCCAGTAGAGAGGTCTGGTTAGAAAAAGCTTTCCTGATGAAAATCACACTTCATGCATGGGTCATAAACGAACCTTGAAATGGGAGAGTTCAATAATGCGCGACTCCAAAGATTTGAAGTACTTATAAACAAAACTGTCAATCACCAGGCCAAGATATTTAAAATTCAAATAATCCTTTGTCTTATGGAAAACGGGAATAACGCAAGAAATCATTAGCAATCACAATTGATCCATTTGAAATTCGGCAATATTTCAGAATCACATTGACTCGCTATTTTAAGAATTCACCAAAAATTTCGGAAAATCGAATATTCGCAGAAAAATATTTTCCCACTCTGCCACTTCTGACCATAAAAGCCTTTATTTTGTAATTTCACTCAATAGAATAACTACTCACACTTTTCTTCGTGCATATTTACGATTTATATCTATATATGGAGTGCGCGATAGACTTGTCTCCACGTGGTACACCCTGGGCAATGTATACTCAAGTGCCAATTGATTTCTGACTTCAAACTACCATGACCCCACAGTGTGTCATATTCGACCACTTCCAGAGTACTCATCTTACCTTTTCCCCTACCTTTGTGTTCGTCTATCTGTGATTCACTCTTCTGTTCTCCTCTCGACTTTTTCTAACTTTGATATTCCCCCTCTCTGTGAAGCCCGAAGTCAACTATTGGGCTGATGAGAGACATCATAAAGTCTGTCATTCGAAAAAATCTGAATGCAATCACAAATAGAATTGCAAATTCGAAACCCACTCTCCCTGAGAGCCTCAATTAGTACGCATTTTCCAATGTTTACTATTCATATAAGACTATTGTCAGTTCATACCACAATGACTATACAATCGCATCTGGTTCCCTCTCTCGAAACACAGTTAATTGTAAAAAAATTACCATGAAAGAGGCCTGTTGTTGCTGTTGATTCAGTAAGTGCTGTTGATACATCTGCTGCTGTTGTTGTTGCTGATGATAGTAATCCCTCATAAGAGTAGCCTGTTGCTGCTGTTGAGAATCCATTCCATCAACTGCCATCTGGTTTAACACCTGCTGACTTCCAAATCCACCGACAGGAGGTGGTGGAGACTGAATTTGTATTCCACCAGCTCGCATTCCAGGAGGAAGGGTTCCTGAGTGGAACATATGACTACCACCCACCATTGGACCTCCAGTAGCTGATTGTAATAGCAACGAGTGATGTGACCGGTGGTGGGGATGATGATGTTGGGTACCGTAGAAAGCAGAGCTGGGCCCGCCTCCACCTAGATGCATAGCAGAACCCATGTAGGCGGCTTGCTGCTGAGCAAACTGCTGTTGCTGCTGGGCATACTGTTGATTTGAAGGTGTGTCGGAAAAATTGGACTGACGCATGAGGGTACCCATGAGCATGGCTTGACCTTGAGCAGCCTGAGCGGCCTTAACTGCAGATGGGGAACTGGCCAGAAGTCGATCATTGACCGATGTGGCCGACTGTTGGTTCTGAGGTACTTGTTGGGATTGAGTTGGATACTTCTCCGCTTCCGTAGGACCAGTGAGGAAACCATCTGAATGAAAGAAAACAAGGTTAAGGTTTTAAATCCGAAAATTCTCGGTCTCTTGAAAAGGCAGCTCAATAAAAACTTATTAAATAGCATAAAAGGCAAGAGTCATTGAAATTAAGATTACAGTTCAGAAAGAGAGTTTTGTCTAATCAGTCTATTACTAGATAACTTGTGCAAGTATTCACTACTGTAAAGAAGATTATCTGCATGAAACAAACATAAGTAGTAGTTACTGTGCTTGGTTCGCCTCCTACGTCGATATTTGCGTTGTCGGGCAATGCACATAATAACTAGGATAAGGGCAACGAGGAAGATTATCAGAGCCAAAGCACCAAGTCCAATAAAGATGGGTTTATTATCGAGTATTGCGCGAATAAAGGTGAAAGAGCCGAAGCCGGGAACCTGTTAAGAAAAAAAAAGCGGACAGTTGACTAATACGAACCCTTGACTGCTACTGAATTTGTTGTAAGTAGTTGAATCAATTCTTACCTCTGGTAAAGTAGCAAATTTGGCCTCCGAGAAACGGGTAATCCTTCGCTCACCATTTTCGTACTTCACACCATAGACAACTAATTGATAGCTGATAGAAGAGTTGAGATTGTAGATAAATGCCTCCTGAAAGCATAAAATACACGCATGGAAACCACAAATGGATCAAAATATGGGATGCAGACAACCGAAAAGTAAATAAAATCAGAAAAGTCAAATGAAATCTTGTTTAAAGACCCCAATTTTATACGGCAAATTCAAGCTCCTGAATATCAACGTCACGGAATAGATAGTAAGTTTGAAGACTTTAACACAAATAAGGCAAACCAAGAATGTGTGAAATTTGACCAAATCGATGATTAAGGAGAGTTATATCTGAATACTACCACCACGTGGCGCATCCTGGGCAACGTATACCCATACGGCAAAAAAGTCTATAGACCGGCAGTTGACTTCTGTATTCAAACTCTCATGGCCCAACTGCAAGTCATATTCGACCCCTACCACAGTACCCATCTTACCATTTCTGAACCTTTGTGACTGTCTCTTTTACATCTGTGAATCACTTTTCTGTTCCCCCTCTCGAATTTGTCTCACATTGGTGTTCCTCCTCCCCTCTGTGAAGCCCGAAGTCAACCAAAGGGCTAATGACAACTATAAAAACGCCTGCCATTTGATATAAATAAATAAATACCTGAATACCATATTATATAAGCATAACCAAAACATAGTCAAATTTACTAACTGTGAGAGTCTCTGACATAATAATCCAAATTATTCAGAGCTGCACAGAAAAAACATTGAAAATGAGACGAGTTATAAAAGAGGACACCCCACCAGATCAAATGCGCTCACTGGCCCTTGAGGCAATCAATGCAACTCTCCTGCAGATCAATGACTAGAAGTCTTCACTAACGAGTCATAAGCAGAAAACCGAACAAACGTTGGTACAGCGGGTGTTTACCCTGAACTCTTCCCCTTCAACGCAGCAGCGGTACAAAACAAATCCGCATTCGAAGGAGAAATAGGAGGCCATTAAAATAGCATTAGGCCAATTGTGCTGCCTTAATACGAAATTCATCAAGGCAGCATTTCTTTCGGACTCACAGTGAGCAACAACTTCAATTGTAAACAGAGAACCACCCAAAGCAGCCGAGATATACGAATGAAAAAAATGTATCAGTTATTGAGAGAAAAAAACAACAGTAGTTCTTCAATTGATCACTGGACACTGTGGCATTATAGGCAATGAGCTCGCTGACACACTTGCTAAGAAAGGGACTAAAATTTTACAAGACATAGACCGGCCGATGTATTTCCAAACAATGAAGACCTTAATCAGGAGAAAATTAAGGACGACGATAAGCAGAACGAAAACATTCAAAAGTCTAATTATAAAATACAAATCAATAATAGCTGGAAGGTAAAAGAGTAGTGAGAAACCAAGCTAAATTATCATTGAGACAAATTTTATAAAACTTCGTACGAAAGTGTATCGATCCCTCACCCTAGCATCCGATCCATTAACCTGTGTAGCACGATAGCGTCCGTAATTGATAACAGCATCGTTGTTGTCATTCTGAGATCCTGAATCATTTCCAGACTTTTCATCAATACTTGACGACTTGGATAAAGGTGGTGAGCGCGAGACTGGGCGTACAAGAATCAAGAAGAAGTCCGGGCGGAAAGACTCCGTTGGACCGCCTCCTGTTGATTGATTACTTAAGTAACCATCGTACTCCCAGGTCACGTTAAATCGGCCATCATGCTAACGTGAGAAGGCAATGAACTAGAAACTCCTGTCCAGGGAATTAAAGGAATATACAACAAAGTAGCGAACTTACATAAGGTTGGACAGATGTAATTCTTGGTGGTGGTACACTGCTGATGTGATGAGTGCTGATTGGTTCCGACCAGTCAGATGGAGGAATAATGTCTTCACCTGTCTCAGTAAATACTGCACGCGTTCGAAATCGATAAATCTTGCCTGGTTCTAATGGTGATCCAATCACAAAGCCGTGCGTTTTCTTTAACTAAAGAGTTAATGTATCATACCAATAGGAGACTATTAATTTTTTCTTATTGAAATAAAGTCAACAGTAGCTGCAATAGCTCACCATCTTATTCAATCGCTCAGTCTTCGACCACAAAGCAGGTTCCGGTGGTATGAGTCCTTCTAAGGCAGGATTTAATACTGATTCGCGCAAAAGAGTTGCGTACTCAATTTGGAAGGCAATAGGTTGGTCTTCTTGACCTTGAAAAGACTGTAGTTGGTTAGAAGATAATCCCGACATTAAGCCTCGGTAACCAGAAAAGAGGGTGGCTTCGCTCACATTCCACGTCAAGTAGACAGCAAAATTGTCTAAAGCCATTTCGGCGAGAGGGGTCATTTCCTTCGTAACTGCAAGAGCTACAAAGTGTGTAAAATGTAGACGTTAATGGGTAGACATCAATATTGGGACGTGGAGTGGAAATGGGGCTATAAACAAGCATGAAGTCCATTAACACCAAGATAATCCAATGAATAAGAGTGGTAGCGTTATGTCCGCTTTGACCCCCTTTAAACAATGGCGATAGGAGTAGTCAAAGCACATAATTCCTGGGCTTGACCCATTGATACTTATCCGGCGAACAAGTATATCGGTCATAGGTTTTAAAACGGTACTATTCAGTTCAAAATGAAGGTATACGAGCATCTTTCCAACGGACTTGGAACAATATTGATCTAAGCATCATACATAATTAAGACATAAATAATTGTAATAAAAACGGAGACGTTTATTGGACATGTATCAATGCCATGAGCTCGCATTATCACTGACCCTGAAGGAACTTTTACTAATAAGCGTAGTATTCTACTTTGTTTACTTTAACTACTGGCAGGTGGCCCAAAAGGCATTTGAAGAGGAAAATACAACTATAATAAATTAAACCACCAGAGAAATGCTTAAGTTGAAGCAAGTGTAATTCTTTATTTTCACATCATACATCAAAACGGGAGAAGTCACTAGAATGCGCGTCCTGGAAGAACATCTTTCCTTCTCGAACTACCCCGCCCCCTCCCCCTCCCCCCCTTTCCACCTCTACTGTTGTCATAACTGAAAACAATTTTTTGACATAAAATTGAAGAGGTAAAATAGAAGAAGCATCAATCTAAACACGGAAATACCATATTTCAGTTTATTTCTAAAAGGTTCAAGAGCAGGTTTGATCGAAATATTGGAACAACTGCTTCCGGTTTGTACTAGAACAACATTTCTTAAGTGTTCCAGGTCAATGGGGTATAATTCTACAACCGATTTTATTGATTAAGAATTAAATAAATTAATCAGTTTTGCAATAAGAGAGGAAGGGCGAGGAAACATTCGAGAATCCCAAATTGCTGAAAAATCACCAAAATAGATTAAAATCTGCATTAAATGTCATGTTTAGCATTTCATACCTTCAGGATGGTTCGTCGGTGTACGATGAGCGTTTGGAATGAATTCAACCAAATCAGCAACTAGAAAATAGAAAGAAATAGAACACAAGAAATAGAACGAACATAAGTAGGAAACAAAATCTGCTTAAAAAGGTGCCCAAGAATGAGGAAGCCCACCTTTGGTGACAATCTTATCGGAATAGAGACTTAGTAAAGCTGTTGCCGAAACCCACTCATCTGTTCGACCGTCTGAAGTAAGGGTTCGAGCTATGCACTGGTAGAGACCCAAATCCGATTCTTTCACGGAGTCAATCACCAATACTTGAGCTGAAAAATTCAAAGTTTATTAACTACTATTCACAATGAGAATGCAGAAAGTTGTTAATTTACGAGAGATTGTGTAGAATGGCTCGCCATTGAAGAGCCAGAAAGGTTTGACGGAGGGGTTGGAAGAAGAACACCGAAACTCGGCACGTTTGCCAAGACTTGACAATCGGACATCTTGTGGCGATTTGGTTAAGTGGAGTCTCGCTAAAAACACGATAGCAGGTAATGGTAACATACCAAAGAAAAACAAGCAAAATTTAAAGGCTTGAAATTGTGCAAATATCACTATGGGTAGCATTTTCAAAAAGGAGTTATTATGGAATAAAAAAATTACTCGATAGCACTTACGTTTAACCCTTACAGTTGCCGTAATACTCATGTGGGAAGTTGAACAGAGATAGACACCTCCATCGGACGGTTTGACGTTTACTAGATGAAGCAGACCTGAAAATGGTAAGAGAAAAAATGGTTCAAGTTAATCCAAAGTCAAAATCACCAATTTGGCGACAAGAAAGACGATCTACCAAATAGTGACAGACCCCTCTGACAGGTACATGAGAAGCAAAATACTTGTGGAAGAAATAACTGTTAATTTATATACAAAAGATGAGAAGAAAGCGCAAATCAGATCAAGCTCCAAATTGAAAAAGCAATTGAATCGACGATGCTGCTGCCTTTACAAGCAGTGAGCTCTTTTTTTAAGTGGACCAAATTAAAACAGTTGTTGGACTCAAGTCCAAATATAAGAACCCTTATTCGCTCTGCTAACACTCCAATTTGAAACATGAAGAATCGCGAAATGTGCTTTTGATTATGCTACAAAATGATACAGAGAGTACATAGTAGAAATGCTACTCTCATCTCAGCGCTATATATGCTAATGAAGAAGGTTTTTTTAGGCTTCGTTAATTCAGCACACATAGTTTCCACTAGCACTTGATTAGATTTCCAGATGGCCAATTTAAAATTTCTACAGACGTTAAAAAGAGAGCAAGCAACTTAAGCGCCAAAATGTAATTGTGCGCTTATTTCTAAATCGAGAACAAGGTGGTGAACAGATTAAAATTCTGAACCTCGTGGAAAAAAAATAAATATTTACACCCTCTCCAAAAACTATATTCTTAAAGGTAAGCAATCGCTTTTACTTATCGAATATTTTACCCCTACTTTAGTAACAATCGATTCTTCAACTAAACCTTTTGTTGTGAGAAGCCCCTGTAGCTTAGTTGGATAGAGCGCCGTACTTTTTTTATACCTTTGTGTCTGTCTGTCTGTCTCTTTTACGTCTGTGAATCATTATTCTGTCCCCCCTCTCGACTTTTTGCCACTTTAGTGTTCCTCTTGCTTTCTGTGAAGCCAGACGTCAACTAAAGGGCTAATGATACCTATCATAAATAAATAAATAAATGATGTGCTTATTGATTACAATTTTTTTAAAAAAAAGAATTATCACCACTTATTTATTTTTTTGGTTTTTGTGCCTCTCTCTCTCTTTAGCCACCCATCCTAATATGGACAAAGCACTTTGGCTACTTCCGCGATCAGGCTGGCTCTCCATTGACTTTTATCATCCTTATGGACTCCGATCGGACAAAAGACCCCACTCTAACAAAATTCATCTGTTCCACACACGACGAGGTTGCTCGATGGCAAAAAATTTTCTCCGAGGGTTTCGACAACTTTGGCAAGCCAGAGGAGTCCGAAATGGAAAGCATGCGTAAGTTCCTCTCATGTTTTTCCACTTTGTTTTCTACATCGATTTCACTTCTTACCTAGTACTAAATTTGTGGTTTATAAAACCACAAATTTTGCAATTTGAAGATGGACGACTAAACTTGAACAGTTTGTGTGGTTGTTACCGAACATGGCAAGTATGCTTATTAAGTGCAAATTAATGGAACAGTGGGGAATCTAATAAAGTCATTAAGAGCAAAAAAAGCAATCAAATACTAATGTTGCCTAAAAAGGCTCTCTTTACTTCCCCTTCTATTTTGTTGATATTAATATTAAATTATGGCGGGCAACGGAAACAGAATAAAAGTAAGTCCAAATAGAGATGAAGGAGGGCGGGGGTGGGGGTGGAGGTGTCGAAAAGATTCAGGGTGAAGCAACGAAGCATCCAAGAGCCGACCTTCTCGCGAATTTAGAACTCTGATTGTAGAGTTCATTTACTGTGTGCACTTCACTTTCCGAAATCCAAATTCCAGGACTCCTCTCCTGCATTGCAACAAGTGCGCTTGTTGAAATGCTGGAGGCGTTTAATTAAGAGGGATTAATCTCGCCGCTTCGCATTTCTCTTTTCCCTAAAGGTTTGAGGATGCTAAGGTCTCCTACATCCAGTTCAGCAGATTACAATTGTTAACTTAGGATTAAGTGATATGGGCCGAAATTTTATCTACTGAACTTCGTTCTCCACTTCCGCAATTACTTTTTTATGTTAACTTTTAGCTAATCATTGGAGCATTTAAGCTAAACTAATACTACAAAATGTGTGTGTGCGCGTGTGTGCACCTAGGCTTGAATTTCGGATTGGGGTAGGTGAATGAAATTTAAGTGAATATACTGAGTGAGATTGAAGCGCTGTTATAACACGTCGCTTAATGGAACCTGCATGTCTATTCTCTATGCGGCTGATGAACCTGTTGACAAATGTTTTGGGGGAAATGACAAGTGAAAAATCCACCACGAACTACTGTGCGCTCTCTTCCCCCTATCTGAGACGGTCAAATGACTATAATTTTTTTCTTTCTTTGTGAGCTACGGTAAGCGACCCTCACATTGCGCTAGTTAGAAGTACAACTCAACAAACCACAAAACAAAACGACCCAATGATTATTGGATTCTTTCATGCACAATTAGCCCTAGTGTTGGTTAATGTTTTTTTTTGGATTGAAGCAGTTTCAAATGTGTGAGAATAATTTATTTATTTATATCAAATGGCAGGCGTTTTGATAATTATCATTAGCCCCTTTAGTTGAATTCGGGCTTCACAGAGGGGAAGGAACATCAAAGTGAGAAAAATTCGAGAAGGCTAACAGTAGAGTGATTCACAGATGTAAATGAGATAAACAGACAGACAGACACAAAGGCAGAGAAATGGTGAGTTGAGTACTGTGGAAGTTGTGGAATATAACATAGAGTGGGGTCATGGTAGTTTGAAGTCAGAAGTCATCTGCTGGTTGATTGACTTTTTGCCATGAGTATACGCTGCAGCTGGTGCACCACGTGGAGGTACGTCTATCGCGCACCCCATGTATGAGAA